CGGAAATCCAGAAATCTGAGAAATTATTAATTCATAATTATGGTTATCGAACATGTCGCGTGGTCATTTAACGTGTATTTCCAGAAAATTGATAAACGACTAAACGTTGGTACAAAACATTTATTAACGACTTACAAACATTTATAAACGACTAAACATGGATGCAAAACATTGATACAAAAAAATATGGGAGCGTCGTTCAGCGAGCGCGCACGATCACGAAGGAAATCGGTGTTGTACGTTCGGTGGCATCCGTACGAGTCAGAGCGAACAGAGTGGAGCAAATTGGAGTTCTGACAGGTTGCAGTGGGGTGTCCCACTATCCAACGGCGCGGAGAAAACGGATAGAGGCACCCCGGGATCCCAGACACCTATAATCGTACGGGCATAAAGTTGCCCGCTTGGAAACCTACGGCTGGGTCTACTCGGGCCGCGTACTCGTTATCCGGGCTCGAATTAAATTCGAGATCTTTCCTCTTTTTCTTTTTTTTATTCCTATTGTTCATCGGGAGGACAGAATCTCGCGGAGGAGGACATCGTGCGCCGCGATAACGTTGCCCTTTCGAACGTTTCGTCCTTGTAGCATCACGCCGACGGCGACGAATGAAAAATTTTTCAAGCTATTGCATAACCGTAGATCACAACGCCTGTGGATATTAACAACAGCCACTTCGCTTTTGCAAATACGTGTACCAATCAACGTTTACACTTCCGTCCGTATGTCACCGAGCGGTTGCCCGTTTTTAGCAGAATGATTACAATTACTGTGTGCAATTTTCGTGGGTAATTGTTGTAATTATTATGAACAGGTGTTGTGTACAGTCACTGTATTGATTATATATTATGATTATTGTTTCTAAATATTAATGTGGTAATAATAATATTACCACGTTAATACAACGTGTATAACATTTACAATATTGTATCGTGACGGTACAATAATTATTGTGTACGATTGTAACAATAATAAAACGTTCGATATCGTTTCGAACGAAATAATTATCACAACGTTAACACGATATGAAACAATTATTTCATTAATAATACAATAATTATTGTATACAGTTATTACGAACTCGTGACTTACGAACGGCATCGTGTACATACACATGTACCATATATGATATACTCGAAGTACAAGAACCGCGTTCGTTTCCTTCCTCCGAATGTTGCAACGCACGTCGGACTCGAACAAGACGCCGTTTCCTTGGCGCTCTGTTTGGACAAAGTGTTTGCAAACGCGTTCGACAATTTGACAAACACGGGCGACGATAATTCGACGCGGATAGGTGTCCGCGATGAAAATAGACAGGGCAAGCTAGTCACGTAAAGCAGCGCGTTGCGAAGGAGAAGGAAATGGTTGGTGGCCGACAACTCGGCGATATTAATTTCATGATATATACGTTATTGCGTTATAAAAATAAATTACGCGAGCGAGAGAACGAGCTGCCGCGGATTAAGTAACGAAACGTACCGAGGACATTTCCATCCGACGTGGTGCTCGTCCAACCGTTCGTTTCCCGACCGACAGCTATCGGTCGTCGACGTGTTTGTACCGTGCTTGGGCGAACGAGGAGAAAAACGACTATAAATCGCACATGTAACACCGCTATCAACGTACATTACATGGATGCCGCGTTGTTTGATAAATCGCTAGATGCAAATTACGCGGCAAGTCCGACGAGGAGAGAGTGGATTGGATTCGGTTCCTCGGCTGTAGTCGCGCGATTAGTGGTATAATCGGCGTGCACCGGCTGCTATTCACCGCGACAATTTCGATTTATCGGGGCGGCGATAAATGTAAGAGCGCATCCGTAGAAATACCTGGATGCATACCTAGGAACGTTCCAGCGGTTACGATAACGGTAACAACGATATCATGCGATAGAAATTGCTTTTCCGCAACAGAGGAGATATATACGTGCGTACGTATAACGCGATGCGATAACGTTACACATCGCATTAACATATCGTGGCGGAATAAAAAGTAGACGATTTTTATCCGCGGCAGACGCGTTAGCTCAACGTTGTAAGTATCGGCGATATCACTATGGCGTTGTGTAACTTTCAATATCGGTTGTTGACAATGTTATTGTGATCACATGATCACGTTGGGACGATGTTCATTCATTTGGATATTCAGTGCTTCTTCTCGCCTACTTTTAATTGGAATTTATAATTGAACCGAGAAAAATTAACTGTTATTAAATTCAATCCTCATAAGCAAAATTTCGTTTACTCACGAAAGAAGAAATGATTACTTAATCATATAACGCTTTACAATAGTTCATGATCTGAAAATATAACAGAGTGCATCATTCGGTATTTTTATATAATATAAAATATACTAATAAAATGATCAAAATATGGATAGTGGATACGTAATCTTAAATTTCATGTTACGCTGCATTATAGAGGATTAAGTTCGAGGCGATCGAGTGACGCACGATGCGCAGCAATACCGAAAATTAAGACGTTTACTTAATTATCGAACGACACGGTAACGCGTTTCGAGGATAGCTCGTCCCCTAAACGAGCGGTTTTCTTATTCGCGCTGCCTGGTGTAGTCGCTTGGCTTCGCGACGCGTCCAGTCAGAGAATGTCTCGGATGGCGCGTCAACGCGCGATGCCAGTCGCAGATATTGCAAATATATTTTCGCCGATAATCTCGCCGCTAATAAAAATCCCGTTTAATAACGAATTCTCGTGCAGTATACGATACTATAACGCAGCGTTTCTCGCTCTTATTGTTAATAAGATCATAGAGAGTACAGTGCTGCGATTTAACGTCCCTCATGTTGTCAACTTAATTCGTCTCTTGGTGTCAATCGACTCGAATCAACTTGGTAAAAATTCATACCTACAATGGTTAAATTTGCAGATTCTATTGTTGAGAGTAAATAGACAATTTCTGTTCAATTGCATGTATAAGATTCAACCGCGTAAATCTCGTTTTTACGTAGCGTTCAATTTTATATCATGATCTCATATTTTTCAGTTTCATCCAACGTTACGATGATTTGTTTCGATTTTTTACTTGTTTTGTATTTAAAATACAAAATACTCTACGTGTATCTTCGAAAAGATGGTGAATATATAATTAGAAGATAATACTCTAAACAGATGTTATTTGCAATAATCTGACGACAAAAAGTATTCTAAAGTAGAAAAATAGATGTCACAGATTTTCACCTCTGTACTTGTATCTCCGTTACAAAATAATATAATATTTTATAAAAAAAATATAAGAAGACAAGAGATAGAAGAAGATTAAGCGCGTGCCTTTCGTCGGTGCGGTTTTGAGAGAAAAAAAGAAGGACGTAGGAACGGAAGCAAGAAGACAAAGAAGGCGAGCCTTGCGATTTGAGTGCAGCGACCATGGAACTATCGATTAAACGAGATGGAGGGAAAGCGGACACGCGTAAACGTCCACGTAAGTGCACGATGGAAGAAGTTGACAACGCTCATGGAAACGGCAGACGTCGTACGTGGAAAATTCGAGCGAAGTCGTTCGCAATTGAAAGTAGTAATTGTGTCGAGAAAATGGCTGCAGCAAGTTCGATGTATCTAGAGCATTTCGCAGGCGCGCGTTGCGCGATATCTACGCGAGAAACTTATTTCGTCGTGGCACATTGTTTCAGACAGGAAATCGATACGCAACTTCTCCGGTTCTATCGGTTATAAACTCACGGCGTTCGCCGGGCTGACGTTAAAGCTCGCCACACGGAAATAATAGGCGATTTAACGTCGCTCGGAAAAGTTGAAATTACAAGCTGTACACTAGTGGATCATCGAGCGGTATATCTACCGTTAATGTTAACGCTAGAGATGGGATCGAGTACCTCGCAAGTAGAGCCGAACCTTCAGTCGTTAGATTCGAACACTTTGCAAGTGCTTTCAAGTATAAGTACTCGAATCTAAGCAAGATAATTTCAAATGTTTCGTTGGTACTTCTTAAAATGAAATCGATTTTAAGTAGATTCGAATTCTGGTGGATAAAGATGAGATTGAATATCTTACAAGTAAAACATGCAGCGAACATGTTCCTGTTTTTCTGTACGCGATTTTCGTTCGCATTAGGCGGGCCCATTGTATTGGTACAAATGCGCATGCGTTTGATGCGCGTACGTCTAATGCGCATGGGTCTGACGCGCATGCGCTTGACACTTTCAGTAACCTCACTAATGTATAATGGACAGCGACGCTTTTGTTTAACCTCTATTTCTTTTTGGGATTTCTCGGTACGTTTATAATGAAAAATGCATTGCAACTTAATTAACAAAGAAGACAATATTGAGAAGCAATTGGAAATACAGAAAATCGCCAAATGTTACAGGTAGATATTTAAATATATGTGAACACGTATAGTAAAAACCGTGTATTAAAAATGACAAATTATTGAATAACTCGGAATTATTGAATATTATTCTGATTTCGTTTACTATTTGTGTATATTTGTGAAGTAGGTAATTCTAGTATAAAATCAATACATTGCAAGTATATCGAAACATGTTTACTTTCGAATAGCATTCAAAATCCATGGAACGAAATTTTAAGTATCCATTTTGATTTGTATCGTAATTATACACTGTAAGCACTTGATGGAAAATAGCCAAATAATGTATTATTCATTCGTTCGAATTACTTTCGGCCAATAGGTACTTGTTGCGACAGATATATAGATGGCAAGTACAGGTTACGATTAGGAAATGAAAGTGCGTTCGCTGGATGTTCGTTGAAATCGTCGCGATGGTCGCGATATTATGTCCCGTTATCGGCTATTAGATAAGTAGTGATAAGTGAGCCAGGAAGATGACGGGCGCAGCGCGTGATCGCCGCATAAAACTTGGTCGGCCGTCGTCGCCTATTAACCGTTTGAAACGCGAACAGGATTTATACGACGCTTCCAGTTATTTCCGAGACGTTAATTAAGACTTGATAAATCATCGCGCGCAACCCGCCGCTCTCAGCGTTTTTTTCTTTTTCTCTTCTATTTTCAGATCGTTTTGAATTCGATGCACAGATACCAGCCGAGGATACATTTGGTACGCTGTCGACAAACGGACGACAACAATCTTCGTATAACCGATCTTCAGAAGGAGGAGCATAAAACGTTCGTATTCCCCGAGGCGATCTTCACCGCGGTGACTGCCTACCAGAATCAATTGGTGAGTATGAACATGTGCGTAATATGTACACTGCCGCTCGAAAGTATACGGACACGCCATTTTTATGCAATTGATGATATGTAACGCGTACACTCTTTTTGTCGACGTTTCTTAAAACATTCCTAGGTATATATATATATATATATATATATATATATATATATATATATATATATATGTACATATGCAATAATTTATTGTAAAATTGAACAAATTATTCAAGTTTCTTCAATAAATAAATGTTTCTCCGCCGTATTTAATACCGTAAAATTAAATGACAGTTTCACGGGGCTATTTTAGGGAGATTTATATAACGTAAAGAATTTATAGAATTTAAAGAAGCAATTTGTAAGCACGGCACATGCAAATGAGAAGGAGACACGAAATTATTATTCTCTAATACGTGGTACATTCATTAAAGACTGAAGATTTCATTTTTTTCAGATAAATAAATATAAGAAATGTGTCTACACAATTTTAAGAGCGGCAGTGTACTTACATAGCAATCGTGTACGCGCGAGACGTTCCACGATTCAATTGGAAAACTCGACTAATTTCGCAACACGCGCGGCTGCTTCTCCAACCGCAAAGTGAACGGCGGCCAACCTCTTCTTATCGCGAAATTAGTCGAGTTTCTTCGCGCTTGCGATCGCGAGCGATTTCAAATGCGAGCCGGCAATTAGGCAGCGCGCCGATAATGTTGCAGATAACCAAGCTGAAAATCGACAGCAACCCGTTCGCCAAAGGTTTCCGAGACTCGTCGAGGCTGACGGATTTCGATCGGTAAGTAGCAGCAACACACAGTCAAACCTGTGCTTACTTACGTTACTTTTGTTCGGCAATGCAAGCACGGCGGATCGATTCGTTTCGCGCATATTTCTCGAACCGCGGCCATGCGGTACGATATGCCGTGCCGAGCGAACGAACGAACGAACGAACGAACGAACGAGCGAGCAAGCAAGCAAGCGAGGCGATCATTACGCGCCATTATAACGTCGGCACCTTAATCATCGTGCCGGCCGAATTATCGCGCGATCTTTTAGATCTCGTTAAAAGTGGAAATTTATACAACGCTAAATGTCGAAGGAGAGGCACGTTTGATCCCGAATAAGCGTGCACACGAGCCGCTCGATTCCGAGTTATCCGCGATCATCTATCTACATGAATGACGATGCACCTGCTCTCGCGCTCGCTTGCTCGCTCGTCCCTCCTCTCGCCCTCGTCGCGTTCACATGCGGGGCGGATACATGCGTGACAGAAAAGAACTTTTTCACCGACAACAGCGTGCGCCGCGTCGAAGGATTATCGTTAACAGCGACAAAGTAACGTTCCAATAACCGGGCGTTGCCATTAATCTTGGCAGATGGACGCCGCCTCGTTATCAGACATTACGTTCGTTGGCAAACAAACGATCTCGATTAATTGCAATTTCCTCGCTGTTCTCTTCTCTCTCCCTGTCTGTCTGTCTGTCTGTCTGTCTGCCTGCCTGCCTGTCTTTCTCTCTCTCTCTCTTTCTCTGTTTCCTTTAGAGGAACGCTCGATACTCTCTCCCACACGATCGCAGCCACAGTTTCAAAATTGGCGGATTTTCCTCGAGAACTTTCCGACTTGGTGTCGGGATCGACGTGTCACTGGACCGGAAAACTTTTCTCGAAACGATTATTCGGTTCGTTTACGTTCGATTAACGAGTACGAACGACTTGCCTGAAACTACGCCCACTAAATCGATTAAACTCGGGTTCTGCCGATATCCGGGACGGACTCGCGAAACTGCCGCGTATAACATATACAACACTGTCTATACATTAGAGATTTTCATTTCCTGTACAGTAAACTTCAAATGTAATTTTTGATACGCGAATACGTATGTTCAAATGTACAACCTCGCTTGAAAGTCTTGGAACAAATACTATTTGCATTATGAATGTATCAAACAAAACTGAAACACATGCAACTGAAAAGTTTTATTACTTGTAATGCAATAAGTATTGGATATTGAAAATAAATGCAACTTTTGAACGGCATTGTGTGTACAATTGTCAAACGTGAAGTTTCGTTCATCTTCTTTCAACTACTAGAATCAAAAAAATTTCGATTTCGATTGAGGTTGCAATCTTTCAGATATATTTATATCCTGAAATCTACGGGATCCGTTGAATTCCAATTCTCTGTAACATCGTGCAACTTGAAAATTACATGTTCATATATCCATAGTTACACCTCATCAAGACTCACATCATTACAAAAACATCAAATGACTCGTAAAGGCAGTTGTCAGATTTTTAATTACAGTAAATAGCTACAATCAACTCTAATTAATCCAAAATTTCGTAGAAGGAGAAGATTATTAATTACCTACTCATGCAACGGAGAGAAACGAGATCATCACACTAAAAATTATCCACCTGTGACGTTTAAAGATTTACCATTTGTTTGTTCAAATTCGCATATTGAAAAGGATAATCAAATTGTTAATACTTTGCTCCAGCAAATGTCTCAACTATTAAGATCGTGAATCTGTTGAACATACACGCTTCACATACCATGCATGCATGTACATGGACTCTCAATTCCTTAATTCCTACATGTCGCGAGCACATCTAATGTAAATGTATCGGGCGCACGTCAGTATAATACCGGCTACTCGATAAAGTCGTCTTCCCTCCGTCGAATGCCCGTGGCTTTCGTCTCGCGAAATGCACTTACTTAGCTGCACTTGCATATTTATTTTTTTCCTCGCCTTGGCTGGCATCGCGTCGGATTGCATCGCATCGCGTGATATCGCATTGGATCGCATCGGATCGGCCAACGTGTCGCTACCGCCGTCTGCGGAACACCTGCTCCGGGGTTCGTGCAAACGACGCGATTAAATAATTTGTTCGCCCGTAATGGAGTAATAATTAAAAGATTTTAGGGTTGGCGGAATTGCGGCGATCTAATTAAAATAGTCGTTAGCGGTATTTTCGCCGCTGTAGATTTAACAGTATAACGGAGAATTTAAGTGTCAACAAAAGACACTTGTGTCGAAAGAATCAAGTTGCACGAAGTAAGAGGATGTTTTTAACACGGTGGGGAAGAAACGCGGGTTTCTTGACGAAGAAATGTTTGAACCTCTAAAAATTCTTTATTGTAGATTTACAAAATTTCTATTAATCATTATGATATTACGATATACGTCATTTTCATCATTTCGGAAGTTTCAGTGTTAGTGCATCAAAAAATCTTTCAATCAGTCGCATCTTCCCATCAGGTTGTGTAATAAATTCAAATGATTTTAAAATGACTTTAATGATTAATGTGTTGATGATTCTTTAGAAATGAATTAAATAACTTTGAAGGTTTCGTCCTTTTATCAAAAAGTCGTAGACACGTAACATGTGTATAACTAGGATTGATCTTTGAATTATGAATATTCAGTAAATTGAAGTGGTCGAACAATCGCAAGTACAATATTTTCTGCGGTAACAAACAATCTTTTAAATATTTCAAAATTATCAACTTCATTATATACTTTCAATTTCACATTTGTGCTTTAAATATTTATACTGTCCATTTCCTTTCTGTTTCTGCCATTAAATGATACAATTATTGATCAGATTAAGCAACTTCATCGTCTATACTACGTGCATCCTGAAAATCTTCGATATCCTAAAAAAAAATATAACATCGGGTGGCGAAATAGTAAATTTCGTTACACGAGCTAATATTTTTTGCGCTCCGTGACAGAGACTTTTGCGTGACGCGATTGCAACAATTGAAAATCCGCGGCTCGGAGGAAATCCCAGCGCGATCGACACGGCGAACAACGAACTTGAAAAGGTGTTTCCGAGGGATCCAGAGACGAGAATCGAAAAACGGGAACAAAGCGACGAAGGCTGGAGAGTCACGGAGTCACGAGAGAGCTCTATGCCTGTCAGGCGTCGTGGTTCTCTCGGGACGAACGTACGGTCGGGCGCGGCGCAGCGGTAATCACGTGCAAATCGGAGGCGTGTCGAGGCTCAACCGGAAAGTCCTTCACTCCGCTAATGCGTTCGACGCGATCTTCGACGCGCTTCCGAGAATGGAAGGGCGTGTTCCGAGCGTTTCGAAATTTTTCGTTAAACGTCAGAACCGGGGAGACGAGATCGGAGAGAGAAAAATCGGTCTCGGGCGATCTGTCGGACGATCTGTCGTGTCCCGTGGCGTGTTTCTCGAAACTCCGACGACTTTTCGTCGATCTTACGAATCGAATTCTTCCTGGAAAGAGAGAGAGAGAGAGAGAGAGAAAGGTGGACGAGATGCGTTATGCTTGGTCGATCAACCACGGTTTAATGACACGGCAGTTTGGTGAGGACGATCGTTTGAAAATCACAGTCCGGTCTAACGCGACCCTCCTCAAATCAGCACCTGCCTAACCGAGATCACGAAAAATCTTGCTTCGTCATTCGATCTCACGGGGCTTGTCAACTGTTGCCACTTTGTCCTCTCGAACGTAATTGAGAAAATGAAAGTTGCGATGATGTTACGACGTTTCGGTTGTTTCAGAAAATCGGAAATGTTTCTAAGATTGTTCCGTAGAAGAATACGTACGTATGTGTATATATTTGAAAATCAGTAAGAAGACTTAATTCATATTAAATTGCACGACATGGTTCGTATCGATAAAGAACAATATCCAAATATTAATTACACTTAGACTAATTTAGATAATTAAATCTTCAGTTGGAACAGATTGTAAACGACTTGATAAAGCCCCATTGTATTTAGTTATATGATTTTATCGAATCATTTGTGACTTGTACTATTCCGACCATAACATCTGGAAAAAAATCAGAAATTCGTCGCTGTTCTCAAACTATGTATCATCGCGTCTGACGCTCATACAGAGCCTAATCACCGCGGATGCCAGATTTATGTCGCTGTTAACAGAAGAATCGTCGTCAGTCAAGAAAGATTCGATGGAATCGTAAAACAGTCCGAAACATGAACAATCGTAAATCCTATTATCTCTGTGTCGCGCGTGCGCGCGCGATAAGAGAGGGCGTGCGTAAGATGGAAGAGAATGCTCGACTCGGCGCTGCGCGACGCGGCGCGACGTGGTGCAGCGGTTACGGCAGTCGTGTTCGGCTGCACGGATGCGGCTCTGGCGGCATCCAGAGTTAATGAGAGAGCGGCGGTACGGGGCAATACGGCGCATGCTCCCGCCCACTTCACGCCGCCGCTGATAGATAGATGCCCCTTCGGCCCTTTCGCCCTTCTTTCCTTCTCGCACCCTCGCTCTCACCCTCGTCCTCTCGTCCTCGACCGTTCTCACCGTCTCTCTCTCTCTCTTTCACTCTCGCGTTCTCACCCCTCGCTCCTCTCCCTTTTCCAATTCGTTCTTCCTCTTTCCCTCTTCTCTCCCCCGGCACCGAGGCCTCGATCCTCTTTCACCACGGCCAACCACCGCCGCCACCATCATCGGCGTGCTCGCGTTTCGCCTAAAAAAGGCCACCGAAATCGTTCTTATAAAGATATTACGGGTAACTGTGAAAATTTAAGGAACCATTTATAAAAACGCGCGTCCTGCTTCGACTCGTGCGTGCGGCTATCTCCTCTCGTCTCGTCTCGTCTCGTTCTCCCGTCTGACCTTGCCTCGCAGGTCCAAATTTACGGCCAGCTGCCGCGAGAAACTCGAAATTGCTCGAACGCCGCCAGAGAGAAACGTTCACGTGAAAAACGTTTCGAAACCACCTCCTCGCTCGCGAGCAAGGGGGATGATTTGTGGGCAACGCGTACTCTCACGTCTCCTGACGTTTCATCAA